GTTCCTATATATGACTTGGAAATACAGAGGGTGGAACATGGGGAAGAAGAAGAAACTAGGCCCCTTCAAATGATTTGCACAGAAAAAGAAAGCCTTAGATTTTATTCCTGCTTTGAATCAAGTTGTTCGCACATACTTGTGTTCAGGTTATCCATGGTCACACAAGCAGAACCAGAAATAGCATCAAGGTTCTCCCTGCTGGAGACAATTTCAACATTTTCTAAGGTGCTTTGCAGAAGGAAGGAATAAAGGCTATCTGGCCACTTCATTATAATTGTTCCTGCAAGCAGGAGCCCACGCTCTTCTCCCACTGGTAGGATCTCAACCTTATGTTAAGGCTTCATCTCTTCCTTGCTACTACTGTCCAGAAAGGAGATGTGATCTCTTAGCAATATGTAATTCCCTTTCTAAACAACCAGGCAAGAGGAATTTTGCTGAGAGAAAGAAGTTGCCTGAAAGTAATAGAATCCAACACAGAACAATTCACACTTAGACTTCCTTCTACCTCTAAATGATAATGTTTGATTTTTCCAATAATAGCTAACGACATCTTTTGCTTAGTAAGTTTTCATAGTGCTTTTGAATAGATTTGCCTGTACTCAGTGGTGTATTCCTTAGTAGACTTTGACATATAACACAGGAATCGTTCAAGGTCTGTGCCATTGTGTTCATGTCCTACTACTGTCTCCTCCCTATTGCCATGTGCTAAACTGTGCCTGCTCCTATGCTGGTCTAAGTATAAGCACATGCAATTCCCTCTTGCTCATACTTCCTTATTCTTCTGGTTAGAAGCTGTTGTATCACACGGTCCTGTTCGCTTGCTCTATTGCTACATATCCAGACCCAGCACAAACAATATCATATCCGCCACTACAGATTCAAAACACTCTCCAGGCTCCAAGAAAATCAAAACTGCCTGTCTCATTTAAATTTTCCGTAAACTTTTCAACTTGCTTCTCCACAATTCTGTGCCCAGATTCTTTGTAGTGCTTTGAATACCATTTCACAAGCTTTAAGCCGTATCTAAAAATCTAAGAGGTCTTGGACACGTGTTTGTATGAGACAGCAATGGAGATGTTTGGAAAGAATGTAGTTTTCTCAAGTTTACTGGAACTCAACCAGTTTATATTAGCTGAAGAGTTCATTGTTTCTTTCCAAAAAAGGACTTGGCTTTTGATTCCTGTTTCAATGTAAAGAGAAAAACTGTAATTTAGTTTATTTTAGAAAAAATAATAAGATAATCTTTTGTAGGGTAAATAGAGATATAAAAAAGCAGATGATTCCCACTTTACTGTAAAGTCCTTGCTCTGTTTTTCTTGCATGAACAGTCTAATTTAAGTCAATGAGTCTACAGTCTTGCTTTAAAATGAAGTATAAGTATCTCTGTTGGCAGGATCATGGCCCATCAAAATTGAATATTTTTTTTATATTAGATTAGCCCTAGATCCACAGGAAGCAGTTTTCCAAGACCTTTCCTATCTCTATTTGCCCACTCCCTGATAAATTTGGGCTCTATTAAAAATTTGTGGGGAGAAAACAATAGCAGACGCTTTATTTCTTTCCTTTGAAAATAGTATTTTTGTTACTCAACTATACTAGTGCTTTTCTGATATTTCACTTTCAGATCCAATATAAAACGGGAACATAGCTTATTTGGACATGCTTAATTCCCTTTGGATTTAAGAATGAATTGCAAAAACAGAACAATTCCTACTGAGATAAAATGTGGTTTAAAATAACTAATCAGAATTCATTAAATAAAAAGTGATTTATAATAGAGTTCAGGTAACACTAATTTTTTTCTCCACAGCACCATGGATTTCACGTGTCTATTGCTGTAGATCATGTGCTGCTTGGGTATGATGATAAAAAGCAGCAAAACATTGTATTTTAATTCTGTCCTTAGAAATAGTTGTTTTGATACTAATCTTCCATCACTCAAAGTATTGCCATTCTCTCCTCGGCTTGAGAAAAGGCTCTTCTTCAGATATCATAAATCTCTTGGCAAGGGTGAGGATCTCAGACTGTATCATTTTCAGCAAAACTTAAATTGCTTAAAAGTGTCCAAGGATACTGAAATTTGTTTTTCTAAGATATTTTACCTATTCCTTTTCTACTTTTCAAAAATAAAAGTTGATAATCTCTATTTAAAGAAATTGTTATTGCTAGAGGAATCTGCTATAGAAACCTGAAAATCCTTCCCTGCAGCAACAGTTCTCCTAAGAAACAGTTAGAAAAACGAAACACATGGTGAAGACACAAACAGAATCATGTGGAACCAGCCTAAAAGCATCCTGGTTGCTCTTTTACTGCCACCTTTTAGCTTTTGGTTCCTCCTCTTCTCAACACTCCCTCAAGATAACACTTAAACAATATTTACAACTGAATTTTCCATTATAGAAGATGGGAAAATTGGGAACAACACTGATGGAAAAGATCGGTTCTTATTAATTGTTCCAGGCCGTATCAGTTAGAATGATCTGGCTTACAATAAGCTAACTAGCATTCAAGTGTCATGTTGGAAAACCTGAAAATGAGGTTATTGATTCACCCCTTCCTTCTTTTCTTTATAATTTTAAAACTTGCTTTGAACCATCTTCCTATGGAAATCTGGACTGTGCTAACAGCAACATCTAAATGAAACTTTTAAGAGCTGTGATTAAATTCCCTCTTTCCCAGCTCACAACAATCAAAGAGAAGGCTTAGGCATTGCAAGGTCAGTATTTAAAAACCTACTGCCCACAAGTAAAGTTGAAATAATTACTATATAAGGCCATCTTTGAATAGGATAGTTAGATACTCTGCTGACATATAATAAATTCAAATAAGATTGTAAACTTCCTTAGCATAACAGCATGCAGGGGAGAGATTCAAAGAGCTGATGTCATCTATTTCATTTTCAGAGTTCCAGGCCAAATATAGGGCTCTGTTCTTCCAAGCTTGGAGAGGCTTTGCTTCCAGGCACTTCCCTGAGTGCTAGCTGCTCCAGAAACAAGAAATTTCCCCACAAACCAGTGTAGTAGAGAACTGCAACCTGTTAGCATGTGTTCTTCCTTCCTGTAAGCTTTAAAATAGGACTGAGAAAGACCTACAGAAGGCTTGTCGAGATCTGAGTAAGAACTATGCAATGCAGAACTGGTTGCCCTGGCTGGAAATGCACAGTGGCTTATCCCCACAGAGTGGGGAAGCTCATGAATGGCATCAAAATCACAGGTAGGGGCTTGCCATTTTAACCGTAGTTTGGAAGCATGTGCAGTGAAAGTGCAAGGAACATTTCTGTTCATCAGGATGATCAGTCTCTTGTCATGTTTAAAGGGACATTAAGTTAATGCCTCAAATGTCATCTTGCTCAGCAAGAGCAACAGCAACAAAAACAACAGGCTACAGAGGAAAAACTCATCCTGTAGTTCCCCATTTACAGAGTCTTTGTTGCATCATTGGCATATTGCAGCAGCAGACAAGCATCTTAGTAAGATCAGAAAAAAAAAAAAAAAGAGATAGTGTTTTGCTATATTTTCTATAAACACTTATTACCAAAGCTACCTCACCAACAAGCAGCATAAACACATCCTAGGCTCCTTGCTGCAGGCACAGTGCAGCAAAGCTTCTGGGGGACAGTTAGAGGCAAAAAGAGCCTTGCAGGCTTTTAGTGAAATCACATCTTACAGCCATTAACTAAATGGATACTGTATGGAGAATTGCCACAGCATTTATCAGTAATGCAAGTTAATTATTTTAGCATACTTCAGACAGCAGAGATTATCAGAATAAAGGCATCTGAGATATCCCATGGGCACTCAAAAGCAAATTCACCCATGATGTAAAATCACTAATGTACACTGGGACTGAATTTGGCTAAATAAGCTCTCCCTTTCTAAAAGGGTCACGTGTAAATCAGCTGTTGGAGTGTCCCGTTCGGTCTGCCAGCCAGCCACCATATTCCGTGGCTGCACGTTTAAAGCATATGGAATGTTTTGTTGAATATGGTGGGATGAGATCTTGGCTTAAGCACAAGAAAGTGAAAGACCTGCCTTGTTGGATCAAAGCTTTGATGTCCCCCATGCCAAGTTAGCTTGAGCTTCCATCCACAACAGTTTTGTTATATCTGGGCCACACACGGCTTTCAGAGGCTTTGTCTTTTCAAGGAGTTTCTACGTGCACCACTGTCACTAGCAAACTCTGGTTACTGGTTCATTAATGACACTTAAGTGCACAGCATTCAGAACTAGAGCAGTTTAGCTTTTCAGGTAGCCAACTGGCATTCACTTCAAGTGCCATATTTTGTGATTATCCTTACATTCATCTGTTAAGCTATTTCAGAGATTTATGGGACACAGACTGTTTTGTGTTCAACGGTAGTCTAATCTTCTTCAGGTAAAAAACCACAAACATAGGTTTTTTGTTTGTTTATTTGTTTTTTGGGTTTTTT